AATAACTATGCTATCATGTATCTAAAGCCTGTCAATAAATCCAAGTGTCCTTTTTTTTTTACTGTTTTAGTATCAGTAGATTCAATGGTGATGGTGGGACAACATGCGACGTCTGAAAGAAAAGTTTTTTGCATGAATTTGTCAGCGCCATTTCTGTGCAAACTGTTCCAGGAACAGATGATGAGGGTTATGCCCTATGTGGATATCCTATTCGGTACGTGAAATAATACTCTTAAATTACGGGTAGCGGACTTTACAAATGTAGAGTACTCTTTGTCTTGTGGGATGTGTGTGTTGCTAACGGCGGTAGCAATGTGTAGTAACATTCAATCAGCTGTCTCGAAATTTTTTAAGGATAAAATCTCTTCTCTTCAAAGCTTCCGTTTAATGTACACGACATTTCGAGTCAGCGTATGCATATTCGAATCTCGTTATTTAATCATACATATTTTAATGTCGATTTCGGTGCGATTACTCTTTTTAATCGAAAATGTCGTTTTTAACTGTAGATTTTAAAACCTCACAACAGGGAACGAAGTAGAGGCCGTGGAGTTGGCTCGTTCACAGAAGTGGCCGGATCAACTTACCGTGAAAGAAATTGCCAAACGAGCGGCCGCTCTCCCAAAAGAGCAAGGTAGCAGGATAGTGGTTTTTACCCAAGGCAGCAAACCAGTTATCGTTATGCACAAAGACGGTAAATGATGCTATCGAATGGCTATGATTTAATACTATAATAATTCAATTATTATATTTTTTCTCGGTATCTGAAGCGCTATGAGAAGTTAGGTTAGTTGCAGTTGTACTAATGTCTTTTCGGCATTCTAGATTTCGTTTCTTTATGAAACGAAATAGAAAACAAATCTGCATGTTTATGTTTCTCGTAGATAGATATTCTATCTGTTCTACTTTAGCCTCAACATTTGACAAAGCGCTTTATTATTAGCTTGACGCCCGTACTAATTAGCTGAATGGTGTAGGTTCCATAACGGAGCATCCCGTAGAAGATATTCCGAAATCAAAAATTGTGGATACGAACGGAGCTGGCGATGCCTTTGTCGGAGGTTTTCTCGCAGGACACATTGAGGTATACGCATTACATATATATATATATGTATTTTTTTAACTGGTTTCTTTGATCAAGCTATACTTCATCGAAACGATTTGAGTGGTATTGCATGCATGCCTACCGTTTTTATTTAGCCTTGTTTACATCAAAAAAATTTGACGTTCGTCGTAACTTTATGACAATATAAGTGAAAGGCAACAACCTAGATTCTTTGTTTTTTGTATATCTTTCTTTTATTTCTTCTTTTTTTATGCAGGGTAAGTCGATAAAGGATTGTGTGTCTCGTGGTATTGCTGCAGCATCGGTCATGATTCAACAGTCTGGATGCTCTCTGCCTAAACGTAGCACGTTTAAGGATCCTTGCGCTCTTTGAGTACAACTATTATGAGAATTGCTGGGGCGACTCCCTGTACTCTGCTACATACCCGCTTACCGAATATTTCATTCGTTAAATATTATCAATATTAAAAAAAAAGTAGCGTGAATGATGCAAAGCGAAGAAGAACTTGACTGAGCGGTTGGGTTATAGCTGAGCCACCGGCCTGGAAAGCCTGTAATTATGTGACTCGATCCGTGCATCCGGGCAGAACAAGCTACCAACGAATAAATGAGGCGCTACTTTTAGGCCAAAATTTATTAGGTTAAGAGCCAGAAAGGCCATTTTACCCAGGCATAGCGTCGTACGTTACGGATAAAAAAGACTCAATTTGATGTTATTGCATTTTGTGAAATGTTATTACGTTACTTGTTTCAAGTTGTACTGTATTAAAGTGCTTAGCTGAAGATATGGACACGTTTATTTTCATAAGTCACTCTTTTGCAATTGTCGAAATAAGCGATGAACAACATCAAATAAAAAATAAGTAAAACGCATCAGTTTTCTTTTGAATATAGTTCAAATCATATGTAGATTATAAGTCATATTCTTAAGTAGCTATATAACTTGCTCGTCGCGCACTATACGCTTCATGAGTGTACGGATAGCCAGCATTAGTTAATGTAGGCAGACAAAATTTTTTGAGGGCATAAATACGCTATATATGTAAACGTAGATGTCTATAGCGAAATACCAAATTATCTGGGTGCATTTAAAACATACTTCGGTTATTCTAACACTTACATTCAATGAGAAGTGTACTCTTAGGACGTCAAAAACAAATACATGAATTATTTATGGGTTGTGTGATAGACAAATCACAACTGAGAGTGGTTTTTGATGAGTCACGTTCCATATTACACTATACGTTTTAGTAAGCAAATATTATTAGTTAGTGATTACTATCTGAACTACGAGATAGGGGAAGGTGGAGCTATATGGGTCACTCCGTTTTTTAGCGAGCGAGTAGTGATCAAAATTTTACTACCATAAAATTTTTAAGATGTACACAGGTAAGTAAGGAGGTATGTGGAGTTTGCGTTAGTAGATTTTTCCTTTGACCAAATCTGAAAAATGATCTACATGAAATAATCAAGTATTTTAGCACTTTATTTTTTTGCCGCAGCTATATTTTCAAAGGCAAACTGAAAACAAGTTGTTACGTTAAGTTATATTACGCAATCATTTTGGAGACTAGATGAACCAGGGTGAAATGCTGTACTATAAGCTACCGCGTTCCAAACATATGGGATATCGATTGCCATCTATTCTAATTTTTCAGGGAAATTAACACAAGTTGTAGGTTACGCCGTTGTTGTTGGCAACGTGTTAAATGAAGTTATTTTTCAATGATTTTAGTGGCATGGTGGATCCTTAGAACAAGGCAATATTGTCAAAAGCATCATTTTGCGGATAATTATGAACATTTATAACAGAATTATGGCATAGCCACGATAGTTATACAAACTTAATCCTAATTCTTGGAGGTTGGTGCGCGCTTTATTGAAGTTCTTTTGCTCTGTTCGAAGTAAATGCAACTTTTGGGCGTACCGGTATTTGGGCTACTGAAAATCCTGCTTCGCACTGCGTAGCAGAACCTGACACGTGAATGGTATAATTCTATGTGGACCTATGGCAGACCAATTATAATCTTTGACTTGCTCAATTTGGCAGTATATTATTATAGGTTGTCGGCTTCGTAGTCATAATCGTAGCCCCTTTTAGGAGGAAGATTATTTTCCCTCTTAATTTGCTGGATGACTGGGTTACTGTTATAAAATCATTGGAAGCTGTATTATTAGTTATTAATATTAGTAATTAACGATTGAGGCCAAGTGTTTTTAATAGACATTTTTGTGAAAATGAATTACTTTTAGTGAGCCCAATTAGCACACAAATGATAGTAGAGTGTTCGGCAGATATATTGGCATATTTCTAAAAGTTTGGCCCATATATATGTTCTCTTTTCCTTACACAACTGTAGAGCTCGGATGGCTCAAACGAAGTATGAGTTGCTCATTTTGCAATAAATTACAGTAAACATACATAAAAGTCTACATCGCCGTAGATTATATTCATCTTATGTAAACATCATAACTCTTAACAAACAAAATAAATATATATATATCAAACATGAGCCAACAGTCACAACGTCGAATGGAAGCAAACATATTTTAACACTTCTAAGGACTCAAGAAACCAATATTTTGTACCACGTATGGTTAAATGATAGCTTGAGTCAATTAGTACGAGCGCCATCTTCACTTCTAACAATTTGTATCATTTAAGTGATTAAAACATACAACAGTTATTTGCGAACTCAGGTTCATGGGTCTTATATTTTCGGTGTAGTGGTAGGTATAATGTGAAGAGGTTCATAGGGTGATTCCTTGTAGAGCTGTTAGCGGCTTCCCTCTTCTGAGATTTTTTAAAAGTTCTTGCTATTAATAAGCACGACAAAAACATAAATCTTCAGCCGCTATTATGTTAAACGTCGCATTTGCAGCTGAAGTCGCAAGAACTTGTGTAAGATAAAGTGTGATGAAGATTTAAATAGAGGTTTGAATTTTAAGCAGTATCATTTTAGAGACTTGTTGCCTTGAGAGAGGAGATTCGTGATTACTACTACGTTATCTTAAGAGGTCTGGATCGAGATCCAAAATCTTCTTTAGTTCTTTAGCTAACATCATTAGCCTGACAAACTATACCACCCTGACAGCAAGCCCGGCCTATCGTGCTGACAATGTTAAGGCGAACTGTTTTTAGCCGTATTATGTTGTCCTTTTACTTCTTAGACTGGGAGGCTCTGCCAAGGATGGCTCTCATACAAACTATGCACACTGGACGCCAATGTTCGGCTTATATTTACGCCAATATTAACATCCTTGGTGCGTCTTTAGCAATGTTGATTTGGTCGGATTAGTTGCTCCTAAATTCACTGCGTGTGTATCAACCGATAATTTTCCATACTGTTCGAGCTATCCGAAACGGGGTTCCATTAGGATCACAATTGCCTTCCCAGTCATCTTCGTTGAGGGAAAATAATGCAATACCTCCAAGGCCCATATCCTCGCTCCAACGTGCCTACGATAAATATAACAACAAAGAATGTTTTTTTATATAAAATGGGAGCTTTGGTCTAAATCAGTCGGATTACTCTTATCGTACTGCAGTCTCTGAAAATCGAATTGGTTTTGTTTAATTAGATCTGTTCCAATAGAATTTCGATTGTTTTGATTCCATTGATTATAGCTCGCACAAAGCTCCCAATTACGACCATAACAGTAAACGAAGAAAGAAAGTAACCTTTGCAGCGACGTCGCGTTGATCATCAAAATAAATCCAGTGTACACCATTCGAGGCGATGGATGCATGAGATGAGTTGTCACGTATCAGCTGGAATGCGCTGCGATCTCCGATCATCCTGCAAATCTGCAAACATTCAGCCCTTTTTTAACAGACGTCCCTGAATTTGATCAAAACTGTTTGTGTGCGCATCCTTTCTTCAACGTACTTGAATTAGCTCTAAGCGGACAAAGATAATTACTCTATATTCTTTATTGATTTCCCAGCTGCGTTCAATATGGCGTTAAGGGAAGGGGCCTTCTCTAAACAGGCTGATATAAGAGTATCATTCGAAATAGTACATTGGAGCTGGTGATACATATACTACAAGGGGGCCAGTGACGGTGTTGTTTCTAAACTAATACTGTTTAATTAGACGATAGAAAGTAGTGCATAGACAATGACATGTTAACACACTATTCTGAGTGACAATAAGCAACCTGTCAGAAGAGCCAACAAGCAGAAGATGACGCGTTGCTCTATACAGTTGACTCGGTGTTATTTTAAACTGTGACGGTTCCTGGTCATAGTCAAGGTCTATATAAACTTAACTGCGCTTAAGATGAGTCTGTGAAGGCTGGGGATGATGACGTTTTTGTTGACGACGGCGTAACATACTCTTTGACTAACAAGCAGAGAACTGACCTTCATAAATCTCTTACTTATTTGGGAACGAGAAATCGCCTGGATTGTTTGGGAGCATATCGTCCAAAGGCGCAGGAAATAATTAGTGGCGGCGACGCCCATCAAAGAGCCATTGCAACCTTTTTGCTTAGAGCTGCTCTTACCTACCGCGATCTTAAAATTGTCCTGACTTTTTTGAACGAGATCCTATCGAGGACGAAATCTGGAATGTCCTAAACAGGTCGAATCGTCACCGTCTGAGACTATATGTTGTTTATTTCTTTCTTCACCGTCTATGTGGGAAGACAGGTTTAAAAATTAAGGAGCACATGCCGGTGTAGCAAACGTGGATATCATCACGCATGATACAATTGGCTTACTGTTACTTGGCTAAGTAAGATTAGAAGCGCATTTCCCTGTAGTCCAAGTCGTGTTTGCATAGATATCAACGCTGTATTATATTTGTATTTGCGTAATTGTATACATGCCTAACGCGAATGCATATTAAATAGACATTTACATATACTATTGTTATTTATTTACTTTTTATCTCGCTAACCATGCTTTATATATATATATATATATATATATATATATAAAGCATATTTTATTGACACCTACGTAGAACCTATCTGGCAAGCATCGCAGATTTTATTATGACACATTAAAACGTTTCATCCATTATGGTTTTCGTATTGTTGCTTGTATTCCCGTATCGTTGCTATGTAAAGTACTACGTAAAGCTACGTCTATGGAAAGCCTGGCGCCCCAGAAGGAAGCCATTAATCGAATATTGGTAATTAATAATAATTAACACGAAGAGCCGTGTGTTTATGTGCATGATGGTCATGTGAATCTTGAAAACATTCAAAGCTTCCATTATGTGTTTTTCAATGCACAATTGCAGAGTGCGATTTGATGTGTTTATTGCAAATTTATATTTCTGTAAAGCAATAAACCGATTGAAAACGGATACGCCATATTTGCAGACAACGGGTAAATATAAATGTTGCCATTAGGTGTTCAAGAGACAGTGGACCGAAAAGAATATGTACGCTGTCTTTTGTTGTAACCGATTGCATCGCTTCTAGTATAATATTGCCGATAGAAAATGGTGCCAAGTGTCCGACAGAGCGCTGACTTTTTGGCCTAAAAAGTTTACATTGCTTAGCTAGACGCAAGGCCCTAAACTGAATGCGTTGGCTTATCGGTAAGCGCTTGCGTAATACACAAGTATGCGTCCGCAATACCTGCTTATCCTTATATATATATATATATATATCGGAAAACATCTACAACTGCTTTCATGAGCAACCGCAAAGATTGCAGATCGTGTATATATATATATAGCTCTTACTCACCTGTGCGTAAGGAACTATTCCGTGGTTATCCAACTCGGTTTGAAGTGTAGAAATGTGCTGAGGGGCCATAATAACATTTGTCATAGCCTCATTAAATATAACATTTTTATTATCGGGAGGCTCAATGCCCATTAGTATTTGTGTGTCTGACACTTTTTCCGTTGTCGTTCCATCATTTCTCAAATGTTGATCCTTGACCATCATATTTCCTACGAGATCACGCTTCAAACTCTCAGAAAGTTCGTCAGATACATTTCCGATCATTTCTTTAGCCTCAGAAGGCCTTACTGCGTTGACACTATCCTTGATTGTTTTTGCGACAGTCATTACACCGCGATCCCCGACACCTTTGTTCGTTAGTTCGTTTATAGTTGTTTCACTCCTAGTGAGTATGTAGTTATCGAATGTTCTTTGTGTATTAGGTTCCTTTTCGTCAGCAACCTTCGCTGACGCGAGAACACTGCGGTAGGGATTTATCGTCGTTTTTAGGATTTCACCTTTGGATAACTGTCCTCTATCTAGAAAAAAAACAACTTCTCCATTGTGGGTTGCCACTTCAGTAGTGAGGAATGAGTACTGGTCCTTTATATTTGATACCTTCATTGGCAAATAATTAGGCATTTGTACGGGAAATGAAGCTGCTTTAGCAGGAGTAACTACGTTCTTTATTGGATCGCGACTGCGTGCCATCGTAAGTGCAGGATATTGGTCCCCTTTTAATGCAATTGGTTCTCTGTCTGTTGTCCGTTTTAGGGTGTTCAGGTTACGATAAATGTAGCTTCTATCTGAGCTGCTGCTTCTCTGTACAGCATTCGGAGGCTGTAGGCTAAGTGGTATTCCCATTTTAAGGTCATGCTGCACGATCGCAGCTTTTTCCCTAAAGGATCCATTAACATCTTTTCCGTTTGCCTCTTGATTAAACCTTGGAGTATAAATATGGTTAGATCTGTGTAGAATTTTATTTAAATCCGCCTTCCCTTGTGCTGTACCAGTTCCAGAGCAAAGAGTCGACAGACAGTCTCGCTCGGAGTGCACCTGTACATAGGGTCCGATATTCTCATGTTCGATTCCTGCCCGCACAGTTCGTTCAATTGGAGGGGTATTTGCTTTAACTTTAAAATCGGCTTCGTTTCGGGTTTTCTCCGCAAAGAACTGCCGTTTATCGACACGACCATGGCCCTTAGAGACGCTTTTCGAATTCTTCGCTGTATTCAGATTACTGAAGGATACCATCGTTGCAAGGTAAGGAGGGTCTTTCCTTCGCAAAAAGTTGCCTCCGAATTCGCCGCCTGTTAGCCTTGTCTGTTTCGTTAGGTCAGGCTTTCCGACAAAGTGAAAATCATGGCTGAAACGAAGCGTAGCTGGAACTGCATGCTCGAATCCAGGTTGTGGCATGACGTGATAACTTCTACCAAAGAGAGGCACGCCCAATACAAGTTTATGGTGTGGGATCCCACGGACAGTCCATGCCATCACGCTGTGAGCTGCGTTAGGATTCCGCTGTCTACCATCTCGGAGCCTGACAAAAATAAATTACGAACTACCGTTTAATAAAAATGTGTGTTTGTTATAACTACACTAAAGAATTGCTTGGTGTTCGTAAGTTAATAGCTCACTCCATAACAGTCCGCAATATAATACACAGAAAAGTACTGTTCGTATAGACGAAAATAACCTTCCTTTATTCACGCAAATTGTAATGCTATATAATTCGTACTGCCACTTACTTGAACAAAGGCGCACCGTACTGAGGCGTAGCAACATGCTGACTACTATCGTCGAAGGCTCGCACATTAATCCAGTCTGCATGCTTCGCTAAACGGCGCACATCATTCGGGGCAAATGAAGCCCACGGCATTGCTTGTACCGTAGCGGTGAGGAGTATATCCTTTAGAGGAGCTGCTTTGTCCTGACAGATGCAAGTTACGTGACAAATGCATCAAACATATATAAAGTTCTGTGCGGAATTTTTCTCTGAAACCAAACCCTGATACGCTGTCTTATACATTGAAATGTTTGAAACTAGCACTAGCATAACGATATGATACCCACGCCGTCGTTTTTAGCATCATTGCCCCAGGGTTCCATGTATCCGCGAAACTCCTCAAAAAAGTCAGCCAGATGTGATCCGCCTGCCCCAGATCGCCAATCGATATCTACTCCGGCTAAACCGTAACGGCGTACCAGTCCCATCGATGAACGAATGAATCTGGAATGTTCAGAATGCGTCTGTTAGCATTTACCTAATAACATCCATAGTATATCACTGACGGCACACTCGATACTGACTTTTGTCCTTTATACAATTACGGCCTCTTTCTCTCCTAGTGACCAAGGGGATCGATATTAACAATTCAAAAATAGCTATTCGCAATTCTATAGAAAACAGCACCTTCTAAGACTATCCAAACTCCAGCACATATAACTCAGTGACAAGAACGGGTGGTAAGGAAACAGCTTTTGCTAGCGATGCGTCGTTTTGGCCGAAACAAAATAATCTTATCGTACTCGTAGAACAACAGTATTATGAGTGCTTTAAAAATGTTTCGATGACACGAGGCTCAGCTTATGGGTGTCGATTCCTTGAATTCATGAAAACGGAAATCAAAGTACATAGTACTAATCATATATGTCACTTATATTAATTTTAGGATTATTAGGAAAAGCATACTAATATAATTAAGATTTGGATACACACTTGGTCATCTTGCATCGTATGGTTACTAAGTATATTATTATTATTATTGTTAATAAAAACCTCTCGTCAGACTTTAAAATTGCGTCGTATATTTTTTTTAACTACACTTAATTGCTGCAGCTGAATTGTATAAGCGGATAGAGTATGTAATATAACAAGGTCTTAACTTACTTAAGCCTTTTTTTTTTCGAGTGCGCCATGTGTTGAAAAGCATTGGTTGTATCTTGTCCCACTGCGTTTTCGGGACCACGTCCACCAACACAAAGAAGTATTTTGGGTGAGGCGTCTTTAAGTTTCCCTATCATATCCTGGAGGAGCCCATCGTCTGTCTCATCGTAGGAGAATGATACTGCGCCACTCTCTGCCGACACACTAAATATGACATTATTTATTATGACGGTTATTTACAATTGTGCCAACGAACCTTTTTTGAAACTTTGATTTTTTACATATTTGCAACGAATGTCAGTCTTCAACAAAAGGTACCTAATTCTAGGTCTGCATATGTGTTTATTTAGCTTTTGGAAGGCTATTATAAATCTAAATGAAAAAACAGAACACCAAAATAGTGCCGTTTCTTTAGTCTATGCTCTATTAGCTGACGAAGCTCCTTAAACTTATCGGTTCGTTAGGATTGTAGCTAGCCAAATCAGGTAGATCTTTATCTACTGACGTGGCGTCGTTCAACATGAGATGTGTACAAAGGCCGGATTTAATGTTAGCTGGAGCCAGACTGTCATTGCCATGTTTTCTTTGAGGTAATGAGTAATAACATACTCGCTTCATTTCGGTATACTTCTGCTTGCGCTCTGTAAATCAGATAAACCGTTAAAGGTATCCCCAAGGTTATTACATGTAAAGTAAAGCTATGCACAGCTCAAGTAGCAACAGGTTCATGCAATAAAGGCCATCGATTTGAACTTCCAAAACTACGATGTGATTAACAACAAATCAAAATATGTCTCTTGCAGTAATAGATCTGAGTTAGTTAGAGTGAAATAGTTTATTGAACGAATTATATCTATCGAACATGATTACGACGATTTAGATAACCATCAAAAACGGTTCGTTCACTCCAAAGAAGCCAATAACTTTCATTGACTTTTGCAATATAACTATATTTTTAAATTTTTTTATTGTCAAAAAAGTCGCTCCAGAATAAGCATGCGTTTACCTACCGTGAGGTTCCACATATTGTTCAATACCCTTACGGTACTGTTTATACCGTCTTTGGTAGTTAGAATAGAAACCTGCTAAACCGAGCATCAGCATAGCGCCTCTCTGATACTGCCGTCTACGAAACGTCTCAACATCTAGAGGATTCATCTGCGCCCACATTTGTTGAAGGCTTGATTGAATCTAGAAGTAAAAATATACAGGTATTGGGACGATGGAAACGTTTGTGCTTGGTAAATATAAATAACTTCTAACTAAAAGCATGGTAAGGCCCTAATTTTAGGTGTTGAATCTTCATTTGGAGGCAAAGTACGGAATTGATTCAATCAACAGATTCGATCACACTTTTGTTTTCTAATAGTATTTTTCTATAAGCTTTGAGAAGCACTCTACATAACTGTTACGTAAGCGTGAAACAATAATGGGCAGATGCAGACCTTAGCGGGAATATTTTATAAATAATAAAAACGCTTTCTTTCTATATGGTAGCGTACACGGGGTGAATATAAAATCGTCAAGCTCCGCAAATCAAACCTCACCTCTTGTGGAAGCTGCCCATAGATAGAGCTTGGCCGCGGAATATTTGGAAGTAGTCTGGAAATGGGTTGATCAGTGCTTAGTTTTTAAAGCAGTACTTCAGGTTGGAGCATTGGATTTTGAAATTGATTAATTGACTCAATGTGTCTCAAGATCGATTTACTTAATTGATAATTTCGTATCCTTAACGAGCGCAACGTGGAGTGTTAACCATTTGGATCCGTACGAGATCGACTGCCCAGAGCTTATCCTGTTAAAGGGTTCAGCTCTGGGTTGCAACGGTCATTGGGTAATCAGCAAATGCTTGTCGATTTCAAGTAGTCATTACCATTGTAGTCAATGCGCAAAACCAAAGTATAATATTTAATTCATAAGTTAAACACTTCTAAATGCCAGTCATTCTGTGATTTCTGAAGGCCGCAAACCCTTTGATTTTAATTATAATTTCAATCAGATACGCATTTTCTTGCTTGCATACGTATACATGTCTATCACCTATCCAAGATAATGTTAATGCGTGTTACAGGATCGTTATGACTGAGACTAATATTATGGTTAGTATTATGAATTCTCAATTAGAAATAGCGAGAATTAAATGATGATGATGATGATGATGTCTTTGGAACAAAGCGGTAAAAAATCGGCTAAAAAAATAAAAGCAAAGCCTTTTAGACAATAGTTTCTCTGCATTGGCCGAGCTCACGCATATTGACAGGGTACTAACATTATGCTCTAATTCAAATCAGACTATTGCTCCGATGATTTAGGTTGACGGCCTTCGACACCGTACAGATGGGCTGTGCACAAAACGTGGTCCACAGATTTTATGTCAAGAACATTTTTGCTTACAAGTTAGTTATAATCAACAAACAAAAGATCAGCTTACCCGTTCCAATCTTCCCAGGAGGGAATTGATGTGTACACATCGCTGAATGCTGGCATGGTACCAGAGATATACGAGCCAAAGTCTGCAAGAGCTGGACCAAATATTGATGCGCCGCTTCCGGGCTGACGAAACACTTGTTATTAACAGCATCGTTCATTAATTAAGCTAAAAACTATAGAAACACACAGAATTTTACCCAACAGACCATAAAGAGGCTATCCACAATTTGTTTGTTAAAACTTATTTATTTCGACGGGAAAATTAACAATCCTAACAGCTCTTACCGAGAAGAAAGTTTGTATAGGCGAAAGGCTCGAAAGAGAAGGCAGCTGCGCCGCAATGGTCGTCAGAGAAGGCAGTCTTGATACGATGTCGGCCATTGATGGGAGCCATAACTGCCAACCTGAAACAGATAGCGAAGCATTAATATCTTGTTTTTGTGTATTCGAAGAAGAAGGCTATGATGTTATGTCAAATATTCCATCTATAGAAAAGGAGCAATTAAATGTAACAATGCTGCCACAGTTACTACTATCTATGCCCGACAAAAAGCGCCCTGTAACGAAGATCAGAAAGGATGGGTCCAGAAGGGGCAGAGTTGTAGCAGCAATGCATCGTAGGATGCCCCTTTTTTTGTTATTCGTTGTATGTTAGTTTTTCTGCGATCCTTTCAGATTAGGTGCTCAGGCAGCTGACGATTGGTGGGACACATTACAGTGACTAAGATATTTCTTATGCCATACTTGTATAAGCTATCTGTAAGTATCACCTATAGATAGGTCGTTAAATTCTTCAAAGTGATTTTTTATTCTCATACTAGGCAAACCCGCGGTCTTTGCGCCATGCCTTCATCTCATTGGTGCATTTAGATCATGTTGCATTCAGCCTATTTCAAACGATAATATGCACCAAGAACTTTTTCTTTGCAGTGACCTTGCTCCAATTAATCCGTTACTTTCTTGCCGTTATCTTATCAGTCTGCTCTAATATGAACGAATCTGGTTCTTGTTACATTCAGCCTAAGTAAGCTAGAGCTTGATTGGAGGCCTATACCTCTTCTAAATATATGAGTATATTTAGTAAATATATGAGTATATATATATATATAGCTAATTAACACTTTTACAAGGGCTGGTCATGTTTCATTACCCTGTTTTAATAATAGCTGTTCGTTATTAATGTTTTTCTGTTCGTTCCGTAGGTTTATCCAATGACGCCATAAGCAACCCTTTCACGATCACTTCGCGAAGAGAAATTTTTATCTAAAAACTGAGATTCAGATGCAGGAGCATGAATTCAGCTGATCGACAGCTCTCAATTAACACCAAGAATTCCAACTGGTACCCTCTACATCGACCTCTAGGTAAGTATTCGACTGCTTTTTTATCGTGACAAAAATGCTCAAGAACATCTAACCAAAATACAGCTTACATCAGCCCCTACAACTTTCCTATAGGCATGTATGAAAGATTCTGAAAGTCAAAAAAAGGCGATTAGAAAAATGGAACCCCTTGTTATACACACGCTACCAGCGAAAACAAAAAAAAAAACTGATGTCCGTAACAGAACGTAAATTATTGTTATACTGCAGATCTACCCCTTCACAATTTTCGTGTACCAATTCCATAATCTCGTTGCAGCACATCTACCTTCCCGATGTTAGTGACATTTATTCCACTGCAGTTCGTCTGCTTTGTGTACGCATTAGAATGTTCTAACAGTCCTGCTCTCACGCTGGTCATCTATCAGCTTGTTCCAATAAGCGATCTACGTTACCCCTGGATTCTGGTATACGGTATTGCTCTATTTTAAATCTCTAACATTACAAACCTTTGGTTGCAGTTCTCCTGAAACCACTTTTTTTAGATTATTTTGCTATTCTATTGGAAGTCTTCTATTAATCATATTTTTTTTTTTTAAATCTGGTTAATTACTTATTTGGGGTCTATGGCCCCGTTAGTTTTGCGCAATTATTCTATTATTTATTGTTCCAACAGTAGTTGATTCTTTTGCTCTAGTGATTCCACGTTCCTATTCATTTCAGTAACTTCGACACTTTATTGCTATTAAGACATTGGCGCTTTTTAATTCGACCAGTTGTGTAATTGCAATGCTCTATGGCGTTTTTCCTGTTAGCTATTTTGGTTCATCGTATCGTTCACCCGGAAAAAGTATTCATTCAATCAAGGACCATGGATCGTACATAATCAGATGGATCGGATTTTATCAGTTGTTTCGCAAGTAAGTCAACTTAAGTAGCGTCAAGCCTATAGGGAAAAAGATGCTTCCTAGCACCATACCCCGCAATAGGAAAGCTAAGAAATGGTAAAGACTAATTTTAGATACATTACGGTTATGTACTAATTCTGCTTAAAGTCACAGCCACTACCACAACGGCAGTCTATTTCTCTATCATAGAAGAAAGTACGAACGGCAGTAAATGCGGTTAATAAAAAGAAAAACGTTTATTTTCTATATGTTTTATGTTATACGTGGCGACTTGTGGCACCGCTTGAAGCGATTTAATGAAAAAAATCACAGGCAACGTTATTATTAAGCCTCTACTTAAACATTAGATAACTCTATCAATAGCCATTTGGGTTCAAGCAAGAAGCATGTTATTGTACAATTTAATTAACAATAGAATAGAAACAGTGATAAGAAATGTATAGGCAAATAACGAATTCTGAGATATTTCTACGAGAGCCCTTTTCGTCATGGAAAATTTGCCCTGCTTCAAGATCCACTTCGACTGAAGACGCAACTCTATATGATGTGTCATATCAATGATAGCTAAACTATTCGAATTGCTTTATGTATAGGAATCCTTCCTAGAGAGGATCGCACTAAGGTCAAAGATAGTTTGACAGTTTTGCCGACTGGGTACCATTAACTTGTAAGTATAGTGCACCTTCCTGCTAATCACGTTTATGGCCTATTGGATCTTTTTTTCGGTCGGATGCATTTTAAATCGTTAAAGGTTTTCAAAACGAGAACTGGACAAAAGTGACTTTAGTATGAAATGAGTAATAGTATAAATGACGACCGGTTTTTGCAGAAACTGACACTTATTCGTAAATTGATGTATATTTATTTGGCAATTGTTAGGCAGTAGAGTACAGAAATGTTCAGTTTTTCAATAACTCCAAATGAATAATAAGTGTTACTGTCTGATGCTTAGCCTATTTAGAACGTCATCTAGATGTTGCGTCGAACACATATAGCCTACACATAGATTATCATCACCATCAATTATCAATAAAAAAAAAGCTGCTTTTATGGGTTACCATGCCATTCGTGCGCCTGGCGGAGAAAGGCCAAAGACACATTCCAGCTGAACACCTAACGGGACAGGTCTTTGAAGCTACAAGTACACCGAAGGAATGATTTCAAGACTTGCCCATATGGAAGGGTAGCCGAAAGAGAAAAAAAGTCTCAACGATATTTCCGAAGGTAGAGGCATCGATAAGTTTGTAAGGAAGTCGTTGCACATCGTTGCAGAGAGGAAACGATCGAATGGAGCATGATATACGGCAAGTCACGAGTACTAATTCTGTTACTTACGAATTGCTTACGCTTACGTAAGTGAGTTACGTGCTTAGTACAACAGAGAATTAATATTGCACGCTGAACAGGTGATTTTTCTGACTCCTATCATATAACTGAATAGTGGTTTATTAGACCAAAGCGACCGCGGAGAAGCTAGGGCACGTTCAGTTTACCGCAACAAAATCCTTAAGTGACCTGTAAAGACCGTTTAAAGGCTAGAAACATGGATTGGCTAGCTATCGGCACCGATTTAGTTTGTCTGACGATCATAACGTGTTCGCAATGAAACACAATTGTAGTAGACGTAAGGGAATATCATCAGGACGGCAAGGCGATTGACTTACGAAAAGCATTAGGTATTAACTAGAATGATACACATTCCAGAGGTTTCTTCAAAATAGATATATTCTCGGTGCTAAAGTTTGAAGTTGCTATTTAAAAAGAAGCTTTATCAAGCCTTGATTGGCTTTAGAATTACATGTGAATATATTTGTAAAGTAAATAAAATCATGTATCGATCTTATCTATCTCTGCGCGAAATAGTTATCATCCTTTCAACAAAAAGTTCTATCTAATGGCAAATTATTAAGGGTGTTGTAAGGAAACAAAATAGTTTAGAATGAGTTTTGCATATGTGACTTTTTAGTGAATTTTGATGAAGTTTTACATAATAAATGATGTATAGGCGCACTTACTGTTTTGTTTAGGCTTGGCCTGCACATAGATGGCTTCAAAGGTGAGCGTCGCAACGAGAAGCCAAAGGAGGAACTTTCGGCGAAACATCCAAGCACCACAATAGTCCAGTAAGTTTTCCACAAATACAAATAAATTATTTGTGCACAATATCAAATCAAAGAGCAACTTCGGTCATCACACTGACAAACTTCGAAATACGTGAACGATCCAATAGGTAGCTGACAAATATCGTAAATGTTCTGCAAAAAAAACTGTACAATCGCAAACTTATCAATAATTCTTAGAAGTCCCTTTTAGGACTGCTATAGAAAGACAGGACCGATAATCGCTGATAGCACGCGCGACTCCTCTGATAGATCCAATCTTAAGATTGACTGAGATGTTTTCGAATAGAAAGCGCACACCGGAGTCGTTTAGATCAACTGCGTTTGTAATCCACAGACACTCACTAGCCGACGAAAATTGTCATACGGCATAAAATGTTACTGTTATTGATTCCACCGTCACCTGCTTCCATTTGCCAACGGCGCACTTTGATCGCCTGTGAGGGTTATTTTTGTGCGTGGCTGCTCATGAACGCTTATTCAATCCAACACAAGACGCCCGCTATTGGTACAGGTGGTTGGCATGCGGACACAACGGCGGTCGACGGACGTCGCGGGGCTTAAGACGCACAGCAATCCTTTGATTTCAGACAATCAGAATTCGACTGATTGATACCGTGGCAATGCGCGGTAAATGGGTTATGATTCAAGGGAGAGGGAAAATATGTTGCACGACAAACATATTGCCCCCTCCCAATTTATGCAACATTCCCATGCCAGGCACTAGCTGCAATCGTAGTATCAAGACTTAAACAGCAACAGCGTCAGTTACATAAAAGAAAGAAAAGTATAGACGAAGGAGAGCCGATTTTAAGCTCCTTAAAAGTTAAGTTTTAAACATGTAGTACTAAATTTTATATCATTAACATAACGTAACTGAAATTCGTTTCTATTAGTTGCTAGTTTATTAACCTTCAATTTAACATTTATCTTAACTTATCTATTTTTTTATATTTTTCATATCTTTAGAACAAGCACTGACGATAACATTATCGCGTGTCGCTTATTTTTTTTTCCACTTGAAACAAATACAGCTTAATATATTTTAAATTATTTCATATTTCGTAAGTTTAACTAAAAAACGTAAAACCAAACCAGTACTCACAGGCTGTAGAATAATCAATAAAATATATTTATAATTTAGGATAATTTTTCCAACCGAATTGTCGGTTGTAATTTACTCAGTTGTTCCTTTCAGTAAATATACGCTAATATAGGTATGCTCTTATAGATAAAAATGTATATTTCCCTTGTTAGCTTCTCGGGTCCGGAACTACTTGAATAAATAAATAAACCTAAGTGACGACTGCGAGGAACTTAAAAGGTGTCGTTGTACGTACCCAATTTCTATAATCATCGATAGGTGTTAACAGGCCGTTTCATCTTCCATTTAATGCAGATAAAATAACTTTTTTTTTTTAAGTCCTTTTATAGACCTTTCAAATTTTTTAGGGTTTTCTGGCATGTTTGATCGACTCCATGGGAGACCTTAGCCAATCAGCGAAGCATTGTTGCTTAGTGAATGCACGACTACATGTTTGAAATGTCCATGTCAACGCAGGACTTCTCAGCCCACAAAAGTGGGTTAGCCTATAGTGCAATCGTATGGTTTTTCAATTTCATGTACATGCCAGCAAAAATTACAAGACCTCGTAGTCTGATTTTACTAATGCTTTCGACTGTCAGCAAACTCTTACCACTGGACAATTACTAGATATTTATACATTTTTCCTAAACACATAGGAAGTTGTCAACGAGAAATAAGCATATCTGGTGCTCATCATTTTCACATGTTGAAACCACACAAGATCTGGATCTTTGCTGCCCCACCCTTGGTGCCATGATTCAGTTCTAAACGTTGGATTTTTCTGTTTATTCGAAATATACGAATAATTTTGTATGGCGCGAGACATGCCGATATTTATGAGCGGTGGGGTAACGGAACGCGTTCTCTATAATCAATACGGCGGCATATTTTAGACACCATAGCGCACAGAACAACATAACTGAATCGAAATCTCAACCTTTTCATTAGGTTACATAGAAGTACGATATCTATCATAGACTGGGGTGCCTTTCTCACAGACATTTCTCGCAGACCTGCTAGATAATGACCAGACAACATATGTCCACTTGCTTACAGTGTGTAAAACAGAACTCTACACATAAACTAGTTAGCGTAATCGCCAAAAACAGAGACTCGAGCTATCGGTTACTTGTCGACAGTTTTCAATTGACGTTTAAATTTGGAACCTATTATATGTTCGGAAATTTTCCTTGTGGAATTTTACGGGCATTTCCGGAATGGACTATACCAAATCTCTCTCTTTCTCACTATTGCAGATACCCCAATCCCTCAACATACTAATACTCCAGACACTCCCCAAGGTAGGCCGCATCTTTTGATATCGGAAAAGGTACACGACAGAAACGGTATACAGCTTCATTTTATTGCATCAGCAATATTAACGGAAATTGTTTATAGTTCCACATTCTAAGATAGGGTCTATCTCTTGTTCTAAACAGTGCAAAACCCAAAAGATTTATCGTGTTTATTGCTAAAGATCAATTTTATGTAAATAAAAGTTTGTGTTTGGTTTATTTCAAAAGACATATCCGATAAGATGGTTTTGAATTTTCACTTTAATGTAGATTTAGTTAAACACACGTGGAAATTCGTTCGCTTTCATTATTGGTCCATGATATATTATAGAAGCTTTTGCCAGCTGATACGGGTTTTAAGCTTTTTAATGTAAGTCTTGAAAAATATCACTTCATACCTCTGTATATAGTCCACAGGCCGTGTCAGAAGTGTAGTAGTAGTATCAGACAGTCCGAATTGACTGCTTGAGCTTTCGTTGTATTGCAGAAAAAAAATTTAGTTTGCATAGTACGTCGCATTAATAGAAGGCTTCTTATAAATCCCATTATTATTATTATTATTATTATTTTTTTGCCCAAACCGAATGCGCATTTGTTATAGTTAGCATTCTTAGTTGCTTATATATTATATAAACTTAGTTAGTTACTTATAGTTAGCATTCTAACAGGGTCGAGACTCGTCAAGTCGGTGATAACGTCCAAGATTAAAGGCATTATTTAATTTTCTTTATTTGTAAGTAGAGGAATAGTATAGCATGAATGGAATAGGTCACATATCGTGTATTCCAACCGCATATTTATTTTTACTTAAATTGCGTCCCATTATCCTTCAATCAAACCACGGCAAATTGGTTTAATAGTACAGATCAGACATGTAGGTACGTTAGAACGACTATTTTAACAGTGCTTTTTGTAGTACAATGTAGTCAAGCCTCTATATCTTACGCCCGGTATTGCCGGTACGCACTCCGTCAGACGGCTGGCTCCCAACACAGAACCAAGTGTGTCTATGCCCGGATTTGGGAGTCTAGACCACAACATGTCAAGATCAGCACGCAGATATGTTACTCACTGCGTTACCACAGTGACATAGTTATGCCCACTAAAACGGTTCCAAACAGATTCTTAGAGCAGTATTGAAAAAAGTAGTACCGAAAGCTTGTTACACCGGAGATAAAGTCAAGATGCAGCTCGAATATTGGATCTTTTTTTTCATTTGACTGACTCCAGCTTACGATATGGGTATTTGAAGTGGACATCGTTTTTACCATTGGTAAAGCAATGAGCAAGCAATCTAAGTTCTACGTCACCTCTAGATCGATAACACATGTTAATGGAGTCATTCATTACGTTGGTATGTCCTCTACAGTTTCAAGCTCTTAGGGATGCCTCACAAGCTTGCGGTCTACAGTACTTTGAGGAACTCTGAAGCATTTCGAATTCAAAATTTAAGAACGAGAAGTCTTCTATGCTATCTCCAATCACCGATGTTCCCCACTTGTGAGCGTAGTCTGTATTACGCGCACTGGATCCATTTGGTTCGCTTGCCGTATCACAAACAAAACGCAGACGCTAACACACCATATAAATGGTGCTTCCGTTAGTCGTGCTTGCAAATGGAAAAATCGGATAGATAATCTTCCTATCCATATATAACGATATAATGCTTCATCCCTCCTTCAAAGCGTCATTGTAGCTGTTATTATCATTCTATTAATTACTGCTTGGCCAGACAATCTAACGTTGATCCTATTGGCACGATTAAGTTATTTTTTTGTTCTTACTCTGATATTCTTGATCGTTTTTATTAACTGCAGACTTACATATATGAGACGAACCGGCCGGATCTATAGTGATTTTGTTTTGTCAGCGACGATCTTGCTACAGGAGCATTGACTGCGACTTCCGCAAATCGGGACTGTTCCTTGTCGGACCAAAGCGCCAATGCACTGATTGGGCTTGATATATACGACATGCCTCTCTGCTCAATTCATTGCGCAATTTTTGCATGTTTTCTAACAGCTGATGGTAAGGTATTGAAAAATTATGCCGAGGGCAATGGGTAAAAGCTAGACATCACACAAATGCGCGGAACGTTTATATCAACTTATTCGCGTGATATGGTAAGTAAGTAATGATGTTCAGTGCCAAGTAATCAAATGTTGACAGCTTTGTACGTGCTTAGCACACGTTAGAATATTAGGTAGCCATATGGGGTACAGAGGGGACACAGCTACCATGGCGAGTTACTGATGACAGATGGAAAAAGCTTAACGAAAGCACCGTCTGGCTAGATCACTTGCCCAGACTGCATTTGTCTTCACGTTAATGAGTTGCTCCTGCTATAATCTAACACTAGATTTGCTACTTTTGAGTATCTCTGAGTAGCTTATGTTCATTCGTTTCTGGACCGTATTTGCCTGCACGCGGGTTTTCCGACTTGTCCTTTGAAAAATCGTTCTCGGCAAGGTACATACATACATACATACATACAGCCTTCTAAAGCAATATAGATTCGCATATCTAACATATCTCCCAAGGCTCAAGTTATATTTTCTTCCTACGAAAATACCATCCGTTACTGAATGGTTCATCTATTATATATACCACAAGTCAGCTGTGTAGGTTTGTGCCAGGCGCTCAACAAGGCTTTGCAGTGAGGCAACTGTTAAATTTTGTTGACGCAGCTTTGTATCTTCAACAGCGTATTATGCCTGCGGCTAATTCGCGTAACGCCAACCGATCTTGGACGCCACTTATCTCCAATTTAAATGTATTCCCGTTCGTTAAGGAGCAGTCTGCTTGATAGTTATTGTATTATATTAAATTATTATTAATCTAGTCATAGCAATGGCAAGGAAATGAATCTGAGGAGTGGTACCACAGTTCGTTACAGGCACACGCGCCACAGCTGCAACGAGCGCCCGTCGGGCTATTCAGTCTTCCAGCGTCTTCTCGCGCGAGAATTTCATTAAAAACATCGCCGGACGGCCGACCCTGCAACTCGTGTTGTATAGAAATACCACCCCTTTTCTTTGCTGTCTGTAACCGGAACTCGAAAGAACACCGAATCATTTCTTCACGTTCACTACGTCTTTTGCGACGTTTTAGTTTTTTCACGCCCTGTTCTTGCGACTGGTCGCTACCATGATCTAAACAGATATTCGGTACTGCGATCTCCCGGCTTGTTGTTAATTTATAGGTATCCTTCCTGCGGTGCACAAGGCACAAAAAAGTAGCAAATCGTTCTCTGCATGCCGGCAGCACGCGACGTGCAGAGAATCACTTCTAAATACCCAAAGCCCACATTTTTCAGTGGTTCGTTTTTCTAGATTATCTTTTTACATATATATACATCTTTTTGACCTGAGGAAACGGGCTATCCCTTTCAGCCCGTACATGGGATGCTAGTTATTTTTTTCCATCTTTATGGCTGATCGTTTAATGAGCATTGACATTATTTCCTATTCACTATGAGCAATATTTGTTAACCCTGAACGAGACGAGTTCTTTTGCATTTATTACTAGTACATGGTAATTATGGTGCGCAAATTACTTTTGGAGTGATATTAATAAACGAATCCTGATTAAATATCTGCCTTTTTTTTTATACAGTTTTAAAAAATATACTGTGGAGACTTTGTACGTAGGCACTACGAAACAGTACAATGAAGACAACATACCCACGAAAAATCCGTTTTATGCTGAATCGATAAGCAACTTACCTACTGAGTTAAACGTAAACCAGGATTGGAACGCATTTTTTGCTAATTCTCTACGCCAATTTTGGAAAAAAATATCGATGTTTTTTTTTTATTCGCTTGGTTTAACGAACGGCCTAATAATATTTGCATGATATTTAAATTGTTAGCCACAGTTTTGTCCTGAAAAAACGGAATATCTATGGCGAAATAACGAAGTAACTTCAATAGGACAATGGATTAGCAACAACAGAGTGGCGGATTTATCACAATAGGACAAAAAAGAATGGTAACGATTTGACTAGAGCACGGTAACGACTTAGTAGAAACAGCGTAATATGATTACTAGACCATTTTCTTATATAAAGCTAAAAACCTTAGCATGACCTGAAACGGTTTAAATAGGTTAACTAGGATAGGTTAACGGAATTGTGCGATCGAATAGTAGGCCAACTATATTAAATTTAAGCCCGGTTTTATACAACGCAAATTTACCTCTCTAATGTAGTATAGAAAAAAAGTTGTTACTTTTTGTTGACATACAAATGTTGATGCAGGGCGATTTGAACTTCGAGCTGGGTTTTTGGGGGTGTGATAGATATAGAACTCAATAAACGGAACACTTTTCCTCAATCGAGCTATGGATTGTCGATGTTCATGTTAAGCTTAAATGTGGGAATTCTTCTAGGAAAGTAATTCAGAACAGAGCACTCGGATAAATATATAATTGTGTAAGAAGTATTGCCGTATTGTAAAAGGAAGCCTATATGCTTGTGCTGTTTTTGCAATCGAAATGGCTTGGGTGAAACTTTTTCGCTGTAGCCTGCTTATCTGCATCGAGTTGGGACTTTGTTCTATCATTTACTTTTGTACCATACAAAGATCAACGACTCTAAAGAATTACTGGAATAAGCTTCAGTTACGATGGGCAACCACGTAACCCTTTATCTGACCGACATATCTAATCCCTCTCGTTGCAGAACTTAAAGAGCACCGATATTTTAATTAACGTATTCGTTGATACCGCAACAGTATCGACAAGAAAATAGTGATATATATTTTAAAATTTATCGGATATTTCCTATTCCTAGAGCTAATTTGACTTAAAGCTGGAGTTCTGGGTCGGTATATTTGGACGTTGCATTCTTTTCAAGTAGGCAATCTTCCGATTAGCTTAGGCGGATTAAAGGAAGTACCGGCTCCGTATTAGGAACAAAGGAAGATGTAATTTTATTGGGTGTTGCAGTTACACAATAAGGTAGATGCTAAACCGAATTTACATATAGACCTTGAATAAAAACAATAAGTGCAATGTTACTAGATCAGTGCGCTTGTTTGACATAGCGAATTGTACTCATAATTATCGGTATAAAGCTGGCCAAGACAAGGCTTCGTCTCTAAGACGCTTTTGGATTTTTTTTAAACTTTGTACGTAAGAATACATTTCACTAAGATAGCCATTACCAATTTGAAATACCCGATGTCTTCACAGAGAAATATCTACACTTTTTCATAACTATTTAATATGTCTTTTGGTTACTGGTCGCTATTTTGGATATCCAATGTAGTATCAATAGATACGCGAACTTTGATTCTTCTTTAAATTATATGGAAAATAGTACCCTGTAAAAGAGTGGAGCTTAGCTTTACGAGAGAGCACCGATTAATTAAAATTCTTCAACTTAACAACTGACTTGCATTAGCGGAGAAAGCAGACCCTTCTACATAAATACATTTACTCTCAGTGCAGAAAATACGTTTCACACAATAGAACAATTGTCAAAGTGATATTTGTCGGGTCATTGCAGATTCATCTCCATGAGCTATGAAATGAATTTCGACGCCTTACGACCCCATTGGTTAAGTGCTTCGTCTACTAAGCTCTACCGGTTCTTTACGAACCGTATTCCGTATATAAGGTGTAATAGAGTAGGGTTCCGCAGGGTACAGGGCTAAGCAGGTAGTATCCGATCAATGGGTATGATGCATCACATAAAAGTGCATTTTTTCGTTACATGCATACAAATATATAAGCCATCTCAAGAAATGTATATACTGTTTAACTACTCATAGCTTTTAGGTCGTTCTTCATTTTCTGCACGTATGACTGCAAACAATGAGTGGGCCGAGATTAACTTTTGAACCAAACAGACTTTAGCATGTTATTAGATGTGTAAAGAAATAGCAGAAGTAGGAAAAATAGAATATCACAGAGAGCTTCAGGCAGTTCTGCCTAGCCGATTTCCAGTGAATCGAATAAAAGTTAAGTACGAAACGGGTGGAACCGTTTAGGATGTCCATGGAGAACGTCCACAAAGACCGTGAACATCTAATCAGCTAAGAAAAATTGCGATAGATACTAATTACTAGTGTTGGAAACATATAGCACAATGTACCAAAATTTGCAAAGAAATCCAGTCATCGTGAGCTGGGAATCGGTAAACTCAGTGTCCGAAACTGTACTCGAATAACGTAACGGAGCAGGAAATACTGGTCAGACACTTTCAAAATAATTATAAATAGTAAATCCTAGCTTGGATATAATTTGTGTTTACTGACAAACTCTTTATATCAAAACCTGTAAGAATTTCAGCTTGAAACAATCGTGCGTCGTCGTTATGCATAGCTGAATACAGCCCCTTTAAAACGGCCACCACTAATAAAGCAAGTAATAAAATAGAAGTGCTCTTTAGGTTACGTAGGGTTGAATAAATGGGGCGCTCAGGGCATTTGTCATACTTTGCGTTTGTACCCACTGGTTGATCGGGGTACACGTTAAAAGGACAAGCGGCTTACATACAGGAATACGACAGCCTACGCGATTTTATTCGTTGAGCGTATTTTGGTGTTTGTTCTTGAGGCCTTGATGGAGGAACTATGAAACCATTGAAACTAGTTTTCCGTCATGATTGAATAGGTTAAATGACCTTCAAGAAAACAAGAAGGAAGAAGAATTGCCTGCTGATGCAGCGCCGACTCAGGATTCTTGGTAAAGCAGCTCAAATTCTCGGTTTATTAGTTTTTTTGCCAATGAATAGCAGAGGGTGACGGGCGCACGTTTAATCGTCTACTGTGTACTATGAAAAAAAGCACAGTACAATGGCACTGGTGTTCTTAGAACCTGTGAGATGACTAGTTATTTCGAACCATAGGGATCCTCCTTGCACATTACATCTTTGTGTATTTTAAGTGCATCCAAAAAATCAATTCTAAAATTTGTTGCTTTCCAGGCCTGGAACAGAGGCCTTGTTTGAGAAGATGTTTATAGTTCGCAGTCTGAATTGACTGCTTGGATTCACTGGCTCTATATGTCGAGTTTTTAATGGTGATTCTTGGGTAACATATTTGCCTACTAAGTTTAGCGACACGTTATGATCAAAGTTCGAACTCATAGGAAGTAGACAGATACACGGTTTGTCGTTTCGTGCTGACAGGAGCCAGCCAGCCAGCCAGCCGTTTGTCTGATCGAATGCCTAGCGACGATACCGAAACAGAGATTCACCGACTCAATTTTGGGTTGTTTGGCAAAGTGTCGGATAGAAGGCTCCATTCGCTTTGGGTCATACATTTTGTTTCCACATACAAAATATACACCTGTAGCATTTTAAATAATCTTATAGATTCCGCTCTGCACAGTTAAACAAAGGCAGGGACCGAAACAAGGCAAAATGAGAATGCTATGTTCTGACATGCGTATAAATAGCGTTACTGGACCATATAAGTGCCTACTGCGATAGCAGGCCATATAATCGGTTTAACAACAGGACTGCTTTCTTGTGACATTATATATTGTATTTTAACTAGATTAGAGTTTTAAAAGCTCAAGAAATCAAATGCCAGATGCTGCGCTTGACCTATCATCGGCCCTTCTCTGTACGGTAGCTACACGTGCGGGCGACTATTAAACACGCTCGTATTAGATAGGTTTAGGTTGTTGTGAAGGTTCACGATGGCTCATTATCACACAGATAACGTCTACCTATTTTTAGTCTAACATTCGAACGCCAAAAGCTTCTGCGCTTACACAAATCTGATAATGCTGCCCAACTGCTAAACGTTTTCATATTTACATGCGTATTTTCTTTACACGGACTGCACCCATAGTGCCAGTATCAGACTTGATCCTTCATTTCATTTTTGTGGTCAACGGCGCGACAAAGAGTTGAATCGAAGTACATTCATAGAACTCTACGCGTTAAGTTGCAAGACCACTTTAAGTTTAAAAGTTTTTATTAAATCTAAGTGTTTTGTTGCTTCTTTGTTGATAATAAACGTTTATGTCAGAAATATATCCACGCTCCTGTTATTGCTTCTTATTGCTAATATTGCAAATTTCTTTACCATTATTTCATTTTACTTTTATCTATGATACAATTTACGGAAGTTTAGTCAACAAGCCTTGCAGTCTTAAAATCGCATTTGGGTTACCGCGTTGATTCATACTGATGTTAGCCCCTAAGTTCGCAGAGACCGACGGATACGAACGGCAACGTCTCTTGACTTGCTTCAATACGGGAACTGCTAGAAATAAAGAACCTAGCACCTCTCTACAAGGTTCTTTATCAAATCTTGATCTTAGCAGAGAGCAAACATGGCCGCCTCGAGACTGACACTGAGCGTGGACTCGTGACAAAGGGTCTTGAGCAATTTCTACCTCTAAACGGGCAACGTTAACGAACGAACTGTATTTTCATTTGAGCTACCTGGTTGTTCGGTATATGCTGGTACGAATCGAAGTGCTTACAGGGCTGCGGGTAATAACCGTATTCAATCCCTACTAGAAATAGACTATTCCATAACGTTGTCACCGTACTGTGCTTCAATGACGATCTCTAAGTGATACAAATTTGATATTTGTGCACAAGAAATTTTGCTGGCGCAGCAGCAGCTTTAACAGATTGGAGAAATAAGCTATCAGAACTGCAAAACGTTCCCAGTCACAAGAGGAAATTAAGTTCAGCTTTAAGCGTGTTGGCTTCAGCAACTTTACAGTAGATTTCCAATGATGCGTAAGGATCTACGGAGAGCAACGATATGTTGTGGATCATGGTTCATCCTTATAGCCGTACTGCTACGGTTCACAGTACCATCAGATACTGCTTCACATGGATACAGTCAGTTTGTTTAATGTTGGACTACGTATTTAGTAGTTTTATAACATCATACGCTACAAATAGAAGGCAAAAATTGCTTATAATCCGTATGAAATACGTAACCTTGTTGGTTACCGATTATGCTCAGCCCAACTCAGTTCGACACTCATGCGAAAATTTTAACAAAAATCGTTGTACCTATTTAGTCCTTAGTAAGTATCAGCATTTTAATTGATTAGTAGTAAAATCACTACCTATTTTTATGCTGTTTTAGGCTATTATGAATTTTGTTGTGCTGTAAGTACGTATCCCCTGACGCCTTCAATGCGCCTCCTCTCTGTTTCTCCAAGGCCGTGTCCCAGGCAAATCCGTTTGAAAAGTTTTTGCTTCAACTGTTTTGCTTTTTAAATATGCTACTTTAGCATAACTGAATTTAAAATTCAATTATCTGGGACGATGTTATAGTACAAAGTACAGTGGTTGAATACGATAGCCAGGAAAATTAGCAAAAAAAAGAATATCCTTCGTATTCACCTAATTAGAAATTTCTGAGTAACCTATTCTCGCGAAAATCGAGAAGTGACTTTAAACAAAATTATTTAATTCATTAAGAGATTGTACGCCACAATGTGCTCTGGCCAACTTTAGACATGCGAGCTCGTTAATATCTACTTTAGTGTTTTTTTTTTAAATCAGTACTATTTTTTTTATTTTGTTTATAACTCATTTCGATTAATATGCTATTCGGTTCAGGGATAGAAGCTATACAGGACTATGTCTCAGATCTATCTAAGCATGCAGTTTCGCAACATCGTTTAGTAACGTGCGTGGCTTTTATTTCTGCACCCACAACAGACCATCTTGCCTACCTAGGATATCAGATTTGGTCCACCGGGACCATAATACCTGCCCATAAATATTAGGTCGTTTTGATCTACATTTTGACTTTTATATACGGATATATAAAGAGATCTAATTCAGCAAAAACAATTTACTTCCTGTTAGCACTTTTGTTCCTGCACAAAAGATATTGTAGGAGGGCGTCAAGGTTGCTCGCCTACTGCCGAGCGCCCCGTGCACGCCGCGGAAACAATGAAGGAAGACTTCTAGAACGTTGAGGGCCTCGTGTGTAAAATATGTAGGGTAGCAAGTGAGACGATTGAACATTTCGTGATGAGATCTAAATCTTTAGGCCTACGAATTGTAAATTTCAAAAATGTTTTAGGTTTTACAAAAGAAATATCACAATAAACCAAATACTGATCGTTTGAAATATAGACTAAAGCTAAGCAGGGATCATGTAGTAACCTACTTTTAGTAATGTAGAATAAAAATAACCAGAATTTATTATTATTATATAAGTAATATATTCAAGCGAAATGCACGTAAGGCGCGCCTAAGAGATACATTCTATAATAGATGTTAGATAGATAAAGTGTACAAATAAGCTTTGTATCTAGGCGAATTTACGGAAATTAGACAAATTAGTTTGCTATTCTTCATTTCTTCAACCATAAAAACCCAAGACTTGGAAAACTAGATCCTATACACAGGTCTGCGTCGAATAGTTTCCCTAGTAGTTTATTGACGATAGTGGCAAAACTTCGTGCGAGATTCACGAAAAAAGCTTCATTTCTTTAATAAATCTTGAGAAGTACCTTGTTTAGAACTGCTGCATCTTTTCGAATTTTATTGAAAAGTCGTAAATGCATTAATGTCCCGTCGAATTGAGCTCTCCTGCTACGTTCCTAAATTAGTCGATAGCCTTCTTAAATATTTGATGAAGTAATATTTTTTTACATTTCGGCCTTATTTGTTAGCATTAATTCCGGCTTTGTTTTGCGTGTGCCGCAGAAGGTGCCCTTGTAGGATATTTAAATACCGCGACAATTAAAAAATTAACCTAAAGACCTTTAAAAAGCCTTAATGAGATGAACCTTGAAAGCGCCCCCGGTGAAGTTTCCACCCACAAAATTCTGTCGAGCTTATTGCGTACAAGATTAAATGAGTTGTTGCTATTTCCAATGCTAATACATTGTTCCAGTATTATAAAATGAATATGCTTTGTTCTAGAGTACCTAAGCCTTCCTGGGATTTTTTGAAATGTTTTGTGAGCAAACTTTTGCATTAAGCTTAGAAGATGTATTCGGAAGTCTTATATTCCTATCGAAATTGTTATAGGGTACTAGGTTTATGAACATAGATGTTTGCGTACGATACCTTCGCTAGATCAAGTTTGACTTAAAAAGTCAAGACAAGAAGTATTATTGCTAGGAAACCTTTAAAATTCCCGACGCAATGCCGAATGGCATTAAAAAATAATTTTAGCGTAGAAGTTCCATTGCTCTAATCGATCTGTTGCGACTCGTGTACTTAGCTGTGCTAGTGATGAAGGCCAGCTGCTAGATTTGGAGAAAAGTGTTCATACTCGTCAATCGGTAATTTCGGTAAAACACCGAAAGCGTATTTGGTAAATGGTTCTTCTCTATATAAATGTAACCTTGCGTTCGCCTGTTTATAAACACATAGACAACGGAATTTCTTCCGAAGAGCTAAGCACACTTAAGCGTAAATGTTTTAAAAAAAAGTTTGAAAAAACATCGTACAAATATGGGCATAAATAAGGCGTACATGTACTTTTGAACTAAACGGAGTTATAATTGAAGTGTCATCTTTTTTTTTTCATTTCTTTATACTTCTTGCTAACAATTTTATACCTATTTACATGGTTACTGGGGGCCGTAATTGCAGATTACGACGAGGCTACTCAGGAGAAAGTAATCGAAGCGTTTAGCGGACTTGGCTTCACAGATGACTGCATGGATTACCTTAAGGTGGGCAAAAATCATAAAAAAAAAACACGATCGTTAAAGCTTAAATAGTATTCGTAAGTTAAGGAGCAGCCATAGTTCCTCAGGCAAATTCGTCGATTGAAGCGTCTTGTTCTTTTACATATATTTTGTTCGTTTGCGAATCTGCCTTTTAGAGCGGTTCCGCGGAAGATTGCGGCAGATGCGTCGGTTCTATGAACCTAACAGAACGCCTGTGCATTGTTCTAGGGGGCAATCCTGAGGTCTGTTTTCTAAGATGTGCCGTTAAACGTACGTACAGTTAAGGCTTTCTTCAACCTTCTATTTAAATGATTCTGTACTCAATACTAGATAATAAAAAAACGCGCCGTTATGCCATAAACGACGACAAACCATTCGCTTACTTACGTAGCACTAGCCTCAAGGTCTATAGAAATAGAAGATGTCTACTCTGCTACAAAGGCGCCAATGCTTACCTTTAAAAAGCTTAGAATGAAACCAACCATCATTAAGACGCAATTTATGCCAATGACAATACTCATATCTGTAGGCGTAATGTATAAAATAATATTGATTACAAGCTAAAACTGGATTTATCTCGTCTTCCGTGAAATTAAATTTTCGTTAGGAAATGTTTAGTCTGTATGTAAATTTACTTGCTCTTTAAAGTAAAGTAATTTGCTCTTTCAGGCTGCTGCTCACGTAATGAGGAGGATTCGATCGAGCCGTCACGTTACAATAGGTAATCTAATTCTAAGTGATTTACCGTCAAATTGGGTTTACAAAAGCTTTGGGTCCCGGCCTTCTTTGCAGCCAGTCGTTTTATTATCTGCGCAAAAATATCCTAACCTAAATTTTTCAAGAAACTCTAGCTTTATAGCTTATTTACTCATGCCAGATAAATGCTAGTGTATAGCCATGCTATTTTGGTTCTGCTAACTACTTTAGAACAAATCTATATGCACATTTTAGGCCTAGTATAACAACTTTGATCAAATCGTAGCAGGGCCTAAGTTACAAGACTCATTCACATATATTTTACTTCAGGAAGAGTCCGTGCTGAGACACACTCTTATTTGTCTGTACTTAGTAGTGGGACAAAAACAAGTTAACGTAGCGTTTTAGGAAGAATGAGAATAGTCCGCAGGAAAGGCCCAGTGGATTAGAAGGTGGAAACTTTCCGGGAAGAGTTTATTTTTATCTATTTGCTACTTATTCTCGACAATATCTTCTACCGAGACTACAAATGGTTCTCCGCTATCAACATAAGCTGCGTAGCCTGTACCGTCGGCGATATTTGATATAGCGCCCTCCTGATCTGTTTTCATTTGAAGTTTGGGCGTTCGAACCACCGCATCAACGAACGAAATATCTAAAATATAGATTAGGGGCATGCAGGCTTTTTATGACCTAAAGACGTGCAGTCTAAAGTAACTCGAGTTACCTGATTGCTTCAAGTCAGACGTTCTGATGGTAAGTTCGTGTGAAATTGTGAGCCTGTTTTTCTGCATGCCTTTAACCATCCGAAACTTTGGTTCCCGCACCCCTACCTGCTGCGTGCAGCCCGAGAACTGTGCTCCTAGGAATCGCAAACACCCTGATGGAGGCTCCAGCTAACAGCACACACTCCTGTCTTCAATGCCTGCCCGTCGACAACATTAGATAAAGTAACGGCGCAAAAAAAGACAACGTATCGTTGGTGGGTGTGTGGTTGAGTTGCATCTACGATTCGCTAATTTTAGGATAAGCCTCACCAAAACTAATATTATACAATAAATATATGTGTATGCACAGTTGGAGTGCATATATGTCTAGACGTCCGAAACTGTTTGTTTTTATATATATATATATATATATATATTCATGATAAATGGCTTAGAAATGAAATATAACAGTCGATCTAGCTATTTACTCAATAAGTATGTCTGTGTGCGGTCCTGTCGCGTTTAGTTACTGCACAAGAAAATGAATCGTCGTATTTAACAGTAGGGAAAGAGCTATAGCTATTACAGACGTGCCATATCCCAGGCTGCTTATAGGATCACAGCTTAAGGGGGTTTTAAAAACAAACCACATGAGTTAATCTTTCGAAAGTATTGTCGAAGTGATCGTCCAGAGTTATAACAAGCAGTATGTGGATTTTGAAAAGATTTTGGTTTGCCGCATAGATTCCTTTTATCGAAAACTGTAGTAGTACTAGACTGTAGAAAAATAATAGTAAAAAAAACTGACCAGTTGCATTATACATACAGTATACGTGAGTTAAACGTGAGGGGATGGGTGGCAAAGCCCTCTAGTTTTGAAAACTGCGCCGATTTGATAAGCTGATTTACAGAACCAGTACCGTTGAGGCTTGATGGGACTATATACTTCGCATAGACTTTCTTACAGCACACGACTTACGCACAATTGTCAATAGCATGCAAACTACCTACTTATATAATAAAGTTTCGATACAAGCTGTACAGGTGGGCTATAATCATAATTACTAAAAGCGACGTAAGTTATGCTAATTCTTTTCTCGAGTTCTCTAAAAAGCAACTTTGCACTGACAACTCGTATTGCACTAAGCCTTTAACAGTCATTTCATTAATGCGAAAGCATCGTGCCGTAAGTTAGAAGAGCGTGGTCACATAAGTCTTGCAATAGCAATTATCTATAGTTTCACATCAAACTGCTTTATATGACGTTCAATTGTGTGTGAACCCGTTTGTGATTCCAAGTTGAGTATTTATACCATACACACTTATCGCTGTTAAGGATTTGATCGCACAGACCGTTGGCTGGCTGGCCGGCTGGTTCTTGCCAACGCGAAACGACGAACCGTATGTCTGTCTATGGATTCGAACCTACACCGCAATGTGTCCCTATGCTTAGCATGCAATTACCTCACCTTCTAAGCTCTCACGGGCACATACCATATACCCATATCATCACTTTTAGTGGACAACAAATAGTGGGTCTTGAATGCTGGTGCGTGTACCTTGCCTCTAAGGGGCAACTAAAATGAATATCACAAAGTGTCGTCTTTCCCTCCGTATTGATCGTATACGAACAATTTTCGTACATTTGAGTAGATAAAGCTTCATATTGATATGAGTGACGACGCCAACTGATGTCATTAACGATTTTGAATAATTCCATTTATTTGGAACCAAAAGCCACCAACGGCTGTCACTACACCACAACGCGTTGAAATAGAGAGAACTTCCTTGACTAATTCCTAGGGCCAATGAGTAGCTAATCTGTCATCGTTTTACCAGGTATTGGACGCTGAAGCTTTATGGAGCCACCACAGCAACACATCAAGGACAACTTTTTTTCTACGATAAATATCACTGTATCGTGTAATAAAGAAAAAAAGTTAAACGACTTTGTAATATCGAATGCATCGGGGTACGCAACATGAATCTAGATAGCTATTACATAGACGATATGGCATCGAGTACCAGCAACCCTATTGGGTACCTTGTCATACATACACATATATCGTTATATACAGTCATAACAAAGACATTTCATTTTTCCTAACCGTTAGGGAGCGCCATGTTCCTGATCGAATCTTCTGCCGGTACTTCGGCATGATCGTGTGGTAATGTCTTTCAACGTACACGGCTCCTTCAACAACATTCTATAAAAAAAAACGATCTTGTGCTATTATCGTTGCCATTTCTTCTGTATATAATCACGCATGATTCCTTTCATTGCGACTGCCACTGGCGCTGATACGTGGCGATAGCAATTGATTTCGAAAGACGATTATCGAATAGACGATAATCACGATTATGATAGATACCCACGTGTGCCTGCATAGTTCCAGTGGTCAGGGGTGCTAATCCTTATCGAGCAACGAACGAATGTAACCGTCCCAATATTAAACCATTAATAAAATTAGCAATGACAAAAAGGGAAAAGCTGTAGTAATATGGTTTGTATTTTATTCTTTAATCTAATCTGTTTATTGTTTATATTATTGTACTATAATCAAAAAGTGTGACATTAACTGGCTACTATTATCAATATGGTTACGTTATAGCTATAATTATCTTACTATCTATTTGAAACATGTAGTAGCGACTTTCTTTTTAACCTTATAAACGCTGAAAAACTTCAAACTTCTAAATTTCATAAAAAAAATCTTTCTCGAGCCTAAGACCTCGTAGAGATTCCTCTCGGCCATAAGCGACTTTTTCAGCGCCTCAATACCTACTTATAGCGATTCGATGTTGAAATCAATACGGCTAAACACACCTGCGTCGCCTATTAAAATGGCCTGTAGCCGATATTTTCACAAGTTTACACTTTGTTTTTATAATACAATGTGGATCTTTAGCTTGTTCTCGCCGATGAGGCGAACTCGGCGAGCCACTATAGCTACTATGAGGTCACGCTAGGATCGTGCCATAGCCGGATGAATGCAGCTTAGTGTACTAGACCGCATTTACCAAATGTCGCAAAAACGTATTCCTTTCGTTGCCGTGGTCGTTAATTGATCCGGTATTCCATTAACGGATTAAGTCTTTACAGGGTTGGTTGAAAACGAAAATTGCACGGCAGCGTTTTTGACAATATTTTCTAAACGCGGTATCTAAATTTAGCAAACGAAACAGGGCACCACCGAACAGACAATCTTCCTTCACCCATTTCTGTGTCACAGTCTTAATTCCTATGAGATAATGCAAACATCGCACATCCCAGTGTCTGGACAATTGTGCTAGAAAGCAACTAATTTTTCTATCCATGACTCTTGTCCAGGTAAGGATGAACGATATCTTTCAAGGGCCGTCATATCTATGCTCCACAAAAAACTACGTTCGCCCTACCTTTTAGGGGGGTTTTAACGGAATTTCAATGAATGCGCCACATTTCAAGCTACCAATTTATATACTCTATTATAGGAAGGTAAATCAAAAGACACATATGTAAATTTAGCCAACCAACAGTTTTACTTAAAATGAGGGATATTAAAGGCAGCGCATCGGTGCGTGTACATGTTCAGCTAGGAAACGAAAGACGGAACATTAGCTAGGACTGAAAATTAATAGAGCAACAAATTGTCTCGAAACGTTCATGACGATCTCAAGGCTTTTGCAGAAAATTCGTGTACAGCAATTCTGGACAGCTTTTATTTGCTAAAATGCCAAGACCAACGACAACATCAATAATAATTTTTAAAATTATTATATGGCATACTACTAAGGAGTTATAAATGAGCTTTTGTGAGGAAATAAATGTTTGCAAATAAATAGAGGTAAAAGTAGGTTTCTCTCGATCCGCATTATCTATTCCCTATAAGCGATGTAATAGCACGAAAATTAACCTAAATTGGGGACATCTTTTTACTACGATCACGGTTCCAGATTTGCATACGATGAACATGTTTTAGAAATCAATGCAAACAGTTTGGTTTTGTATTATCGATGATCCGCTATAATATTAGGTACTACAGTATATTCGAAACATGAATTGACGTTAACCTAAAGAAGTTGAGCGCCTCCATCTGAGGAGATGGCGCACAGGGGCTTGCGTCGTAAATAGAATAAGAATTATAGCGGTGCTTGCTGTTGGACGTTTAGTTGCTATTAGGTACTGCACAGAAAAAAAGAGCCATTTGAAGAGGATTACCGTTCCAATGCAATACTATTGAAGAAAGTTGCATTTATAGAAATTTGGTTGATGACTGTTTTCACGGGAACGAGAAGAACTTACACAGTGTCGCAGGAATCAAACAAATCATACAGATAAGTTAATTTCGCACCGTGAAAAGAAATAACAAAATATTGATGTCTAGTCTATAATATCAACGTTACAGGTGCACGATTAGTAACAAAGCGTGTACCCATTGCGTACGTAATGCCTTCATTTCACTTGAGAGACCTGACTGTACAGTTGCATCAGTTGAAAACGTGTATTCATAATTTAGATAATCTGTTTAGGAAAGGAGCATCTGATTCTCAATTCCACCCATTATTTTACGAACTCGTTGAAGGTTGTAGCTGGCTGGGTGTCGTCAAAATTTACCTCAATAGATACACAAGGTATAGTTTTTACCGCCTTTCCTTTTTAGCTGTTCGGCTATATATTTTTATACAAATAATTCGAAACAAAATTCAGACATTTTCTAGAAATAATTTACTTATAGTTAGTTGCGTTGAACTACAGAATAATCAAAAGACGACGCCACCTTGTAACAGTCATCGGAGTTTTCCTTCCTTTCAGAAACACCGCGTGATTGTTTCCTTAACTAAACATGTACATTGAGAAAAAAATATGAAATATTTATGAACGTATGTTTATGAACGTCTAATTAATTTAAGTACAAGCTTATTAGTATATGATTGAATGAGTACATGCTCTCAACTTAGAGCACAAACCAAACACTACAGTCGTGATCAATAAGATTTTTGGACTAAAGGGGGACGAACCAAACCCCAGAGGTTGGGGCAGATTATTGGAGGAGTATGGAGATCGATTATTATTAGATGGTCATAAAAGATTCATTAATGTACGGTACAGTTAAACAAAGGGAAAACCATTTACGCCTTAACAGGTAGAATGGAGCACATCGCAACACAGTTAAGAATAATTACCCTCAAATTTTGGAAGACGGCATTTTCCTTCATCGGCATATGCTGCAGTTCAAGGTCGTCTAATTGCGTTCGTCGTCTAGATCTGATGAAATTCGGTATTTGCTCTAAACGTACGCCTCTCTGAACTGAAGCACTTTCAGGTGCGTCTGCGTATGGATCAAACTTGTTCGTCGATAGTGAGAACAGGTCCTGTGTAGCCGAACGAATCTGAACGGTTGATGACGAAAGTTGTTTCTTTCAACATCAGTCGTCAGATCATTTCACTGAGTAGACTGACGCACTGAGGGCCGCATCGCTATCTGATTGTGACGAAATCAATGCGGCTGGCTCAGCAGTAACCTACTGAATCTAGATACGTCATCCCATTTGAAAC